TGGTCCGTGGCATTTTGGCAGGGCAGGTGAGCCGTCCCGCCGGATGGAGAAGTCGTGCCCTTGTCACGGTGGGGGCGGCAGTTATCACGTCATCGGCAACGGAAGCCCTGGTGAACGATCGCTGTTGTAACTGACGAAAGCACTGTACTGCAGCCGGCAAGCCTACCGGGTTACGGTCTCGCCGATCCAGCGTCAGTGGAAGTTGGATCGCACAGCAAAACTCGTCACATGCTTCGTATACTCCCTCGGAAAAAAGGCCGCCGCACCACCCCGTCAATCCCCCCCCCCCCTCCCTTCCCACGGTTATTAAATCCGTGCTTGGTGACCCTAATCTGGGCTGTAAACAGGGTTTCTGATTGGGCCCATAAAAATATATTTCTTACCAAACAGCCGTATACAAACATTTGCGTACAGGCCAGCATGTATTTGCTTAAGCGTCACGCATATTGATTGTTACATGCTGATCTAAGAAGTGAGCAGTCATTGGCTGTGTTCCACCTACTCTCAGTACCATACTTAAACATGCACCTGATCCTAAGCCGGCCGCATGTGTTGGTGGTGTGGATTATGCACGATGTCTACTTGCATCCGACTTTCGCAATCACCGGAGTTGCATACCCAGTTCATGGCATCGTACGTAAAGCTCTAAATTCCTCTGCAAGTTTCACACGTCTGATTGCCCAACCACTCAGTACTGCTGAGCTTTCCACAGTTCACTCTGAAACCCATAAACAACGCATTGCTGAGCCTTCCAGAGGTCACTCTGAAACCCACAAAAAATGCACTGCTGAGCTTCCCAGAGGTCACTTTGAAACCCACAAACAAAGCACTGCTGAGCTTTCCAGAGGTCACTCTGAAACCCACAAACAACGCTGGCTATGGTTATCCCCAGGAAACGTTTATTACTGACTAGCTAAGCTCACGCACACGCTGAATCCATCCCCTGCCGAGGGGCAGGTGGTGTTCTTCGCGTTGCTCATATAAAACCATGGACATGGAGTGCTTTCATCCGACATGCCTTCACCTTTGGGAATCGGTAACTTCAGTGACTGACGCACTAGGCTATTAAGAAGTCTGGTTATGATGTCCCTCCCACGCAGGCTGTTTGTCAGCGCTAGTAATTTCATGACAAATACAATACTTTGCTAAATAACGATTATTCATTTTAGTTGTTCAATAGTTAAACACCTGTTTTTATACAAGAACAGACCTACAAGAAAGCGCAACAGTTGAAGTCTTTATCAGATAGATCCTGCTGGATAAGCTCTTCATGGGAATAAAAGATAAGTACGATAAGGGTGGAGCTGAATTACGGACTGTCGGATGGGCTTGTGTTGCTGAATACAAGGTGTGTTTGTCATGTTACTTGTACACATTCTGCACGAATATATATATATATATATATATATATATATATATATATATATGGGAAAAGAATAGAAAAATGAATTTGAAAACCCGTAGTTGTACGTAATTCGTGCAGAAGGTCTCAGTGACACATCGAGATTTTCGCGCAGTAAGGGAAAAATCGGGACATTCTTAGTCAAGGGATCGGCTCTCTACCGCTATAGCGGGTCTTTTTAAATTGGGAGGATCATTTTAGGGTAGCGATCCTATTTGATGCTTTGAAAGCCTGTCTTTATGCATCACAATCCATAGGGGTGTCTGAAACTGCCAAAAGTAGTGGCGCCGTCAGCCCCGCCCTCATGTGATCCCGGGGGTGGGGGAGGAGTTGGGCATCGTCCCAAAAGCTCCCTTTTGGCTGCGGTACTAAAGGTTCACATCTGATCTCCCCGGTTGCTAAAGCTGCTCTGCGTCGGCATGCTTTGCATACCTATGTGGGTTATAAGAGCCTGCTCGAATCCGGTATGCCTTGGGAGGATTTTTTGCACTGGTACAGAATGATGAATGTCACTAGCATTCGTATAATAATCCCCGTGTCTTGTTTGTATACAAAAATAAGTATGTCACCTTTGCAGCATGTTGCAAAACCGTTCTCTGGTGAACACTCAGGACCGGACAATCAATTTTGCTAAGCACTGGGAAGTGGTAGCTGTGTCACCAATAAACCATAATCTGCGAATTAATTTTAAAATGGTCAACATTCCAGACAGCACCAGACGTCTTCCTTATTTAAGTAGCTCCCCAGCCCCCCCCCCCCGGGTGTATCCCGTGCATGAAAAATATTGGCCCACGTGAAAGGCGATATTTTCCAGATGGAACTAGCGGCCGTTTCGGGCCCTTGCTGAACTTTACACAGTAGGTAGATCGCGGTGGAACGCCGCTAGTATACCTGGTCTGTTTCTGTTCTGTTTTCCGTTTCGTTCTTATGTTTCTCTGATTATTAACAGCAAATCCTAATCCCGGTTGGACTTTTGCACATCAAACCGAGCTCTACTCGTTTTAAGACTGTCATAGGTGCAGCAATGGTGTACCATGCAAATTGACGAATGTTTTTTATTTTGATCGATTGATGCATTCAGAACATTATGCAGCACACATGCTAACAAAAGTTAAGCAATAGAAAAAGTTTTGCTTTCATAGTGATGAGCGTGGAGTCCAAATGGCATCTCTCCCGTCAGAGCGGCTACTTCAGATCGGCATTCTCAGTTACTCAGAAGAATGTCGAGAACGCTGCCATTAACCGTCTAAATCGGAAGCGTATGATCCAGCTGTGGATGAAGTGGATTTCCCTTTCAAAACCCATGTGAGCAGAGCGTAATTCGTTGGTATAAGTGTAAAAGGTTAAGCAGTAGCCAAAAACGCAGACTTTTTCGCGCTAAAAACCTTACTAAGGGCTAAATGAGCAGTTAGAGCATTACGATTAAGAAGAAGCACGACGTGCACATTTCATGGTCATAAACGTAACGTAGATCGTTGGCCGGCAACCGCCCGACCACTTTTTATGAATGTTGAACACGAAGAATAAGGTGAGTTAGGGGAAAGTTGACATAATAAATGACATAAGCAACTCGCATCCTGTGCCATTATCAGGCCCCCCCCCCCCCGAAAAAACAACTCCAAGTGCACAAAACAGCTTGTCGACAAGCGGCGGTGATTGGATTGCATGCACACACACACACATACACACACAAGCCCACACACACACACACACACACACACACACCACACACACACACACACACACACACACACACACACACAACACATACACACACACCGACACACACCACACCACACACACACACACACACACACACACACACACACACACCACACACACACACACACACACACACACACACATTCATATATATATATATATATATATATATATATATAGATATATATATATATATATACTGTATTCATACCATGTGCATGCATGCGTGCAGACATGCCTGTTTTCCACCCAGATTTCATTCCATATGAGCTCTAAGCTTTGATGTTAGTGTTTTCCCGTGCTCGCGCACGCTCCCGGTGCCGCCTGTGTGTGCACTCCTGGCCGTTCTGTTGCTGCTGTGGGCCGCATATGTGCGCGTGCGTGGCCGGCAGCGCCGACAGCCGAACAGTGTCATTATTCCTAAGCACCGCCATCACAGCGTAGTTGGGGCCCATGCGGAGTGCCTGCGCGACAGCCAACGGCACCAACAGCCAATGAAACTGGCCTCAAACCGAGAGGCTTTGATTGTGAGATTGGTTCTGGCCTGAATCAGCCGGCTTGTGCGTGATAAATGGTGATCCACTTCCGGACAGCGAGTGTCGCCGTCAAGTGGCCACAGTCCGAAGACTGGAAAGTGCGCGCGTTGAGCCAAGATGTCTCGAATACGGCAGGGAAAATGTTGTGTACTTAATCGCACTTAAAGTCTGGAAAGTGCTAAAGGAAACGGCTTGCCATTCAATCACACCACCTGTGTGAAGCATGTGACGAATAAATCCAAATAGTTTGATGGAGAGATGACGTGAACAAGGCGACTGTTTGGACAAACTGTCATGTGGTCTATATGCAGCTTGTGTGCCTATCTTGGACACGATATCTATATTGGACACGGTCACCCAAACGGTATCACTGTATCATTCACCGGTCCAAGATGCTCCGAAGGCAAAATGAAATTGCTGTAACTGTTCTGTGGCTTGAAGTACAAAAATTGCAGTCAGTTCCCTTCATATATGTTATTTTGTCTCGTTCATTCTCATTTATCAGTTACCTTCCTCGCCCTGTCTGATCATAAAATGTTGTGCGACGGGGGGTGGGGAAGTGAGGTAATAAAAAGCATAAATATTACCGCCATGCAAATGATACGGAACCCGCAGGGCCAGGTGTCACTGATAATGTATTAACTGGATGTTAAGAATGTGATGCGATTTTATTTCCCAACGAAAGAAGAATTGGCGCCAAGTAAAACACCGGAAGCGTGCTATTGGTTTTAACAAAATTACCGCATATTTTAGTGCCACCACCCAGTAGCTTGTTTTGCCACTCAACCACATTTGCGAATAAGAGCACCTGCGCGGCGTGCAATGAGTGACGTCGCACAACGCGTGAGTGCTATCGATACACCATGGAGCCAAACATCTTTGGGAACCCGAGAGAACGGGCTTTACGAATGCAATGTAACGTCCGTATTTTATGAGAGTTTAGGACGGAAAGGGTACCATGTATGTCACTCTCGAGCGCTGTAATTCCCAAATCACATTGCTTGGAAATCAATTTTGAGCTAAGTCACGGTTACTCAATCTATGCCCTAGCCATGTCTGACAATTTCAAGTGACGAAATTGACGAATTGGGAACGTGTAACGTTTTTGGTAATTTTATATGAAAGTATTAAAACCACAAATATTTTGGATGTAAATTGGTCGGTAAATTGTACTACACGCCTTTGTAACGTTCACGAGCCAATCTATTTTGTTCTAGCCTGTAGCTGGTTGCATTCGTGACAAGTTTCGCAAGCGTAGCACCGGCCATTTCAAGGTAAACTACTAGCCCACCTATTGAAAGAACGGTATTAATATCGCAATTTTGATCCGTGGACGGAACATTCACCTGCGCCTTTCAGTTGGCTTTACGTCTTTCTCTGCTCTGGTTTCCTCTGCAGCTGATCCTCAAAGCAAACCAACGCGGCCGGAACCATAGCTGGCGTCCGAGCTCGCCACGGCGATGTGTTATACGATCGCCCGCTCCGTCCTTCGTCAAATTTTGCCCGTCTCAGTTCGACGCCGGGCGTTAAGATCTTGGCCTGGCTTTTGATCGCGTTACGCAGGTCTTTGATTCTCTTTGCAATTATCACATATTATGTCCGCCGTGGCAAGTGCATGGGGGAGGATGTAGTTTGTTAGTTTTGCAATTTTACGGAAAAATATGATTGCTCTGAAAGTTTGCATGTGACTGCTGTCAAATTCAGACGGCTGTACTTCTAGTTAAAAATTGGTTGAAATGTGAGTCTTGATGTGTTCAATAAGTAAGTTGAAAGTTTTTACTTAGCAAATTATCGGCCTTCACTGTACCAGGAGGTACTGGGTAGACCTTTCGGTGTAGCTATCTGCGTTTCAGACAGCCACAGCTGCAGTGCTGTGCACTGAATGTCATCCGACTAGAGAGTCTGGATGGCTGGAATGCTTGTGATGTTCGTGGAATTCTCGTGATTCTTGAAACTCGTTTTAAGTAATATTTCAAGTTATACCCCGTGTGCGTCCTGGTAACCCTCTGGGTTAGCCGCTCGTCTTTCGTGCAGCTCTACGCATATTGCCGTTAATCGGGTGGCAGGATAACGGAGCCAGAATTGCTTATTAACATGCGCTCGGGTAGGAGAGGCCAAATTGACCACTCCCCTCGAGAGTTCTTGCGGAATGATTTCCGAATGGCGCGGCGCAGTCGCGCCCAAATTTTGCCGAGCTGTAGAAAATTGAATAGCAGGTCTTTTGGGACAACAAACTTATACACACCTTGTAAGGCTACTGACCTGCGGCAGGTCGAAGTCAAGCAATGGATTCTGCGAAATAATTCCTAGGGGATCATTCAATCTGATGCACCAACAGGGCGTAAAGTGAAGCAATGCATGCAAGATAGTTTCTGAGGCAACACACCATTTGGATTAACACATTAAATTGACCTAAGATCAGGTATGAATGTCAGACCAAAGTCAAAACAAATGGCTTCAAAACCTTATAGATTTTTGTATATAGTAGTTTCTGATGTTCATTTTAAATTATTGATGGCGGAAACCGTATTAAACAGCTTTCATTAACTCTTTAAACGTGAGAATGGGTCACTGACCTCAAATGACCCAGGTCAACATTTTGTTGTTAAGGAATATAGCGCCTAGCATAATTTTTGACGCTTGTTCAAATACAAAACAAAAACAGTGCTGTAGGATTTTGGCCACCATGACCTTCTGAAGGTCAAACAAGGGCACTGACCTTAAATGGGCACCGGTGACCTTTTGCTAAGGACAGGCATCTAAGCTCGCCGTGGCAGCATGAGAAGGTCTGGGAGCACTGAGGACGACAATCTAGAGTTTGACCTTGTTTAACGTCGTTTGACCCAAAGCCATCAACTAAGAACCTCAAATTTTGACACGAGTTCACGAACTGGCCAATACACCCCGTGAATTTGTTGCCTAGATCTTTTACTTTTGGGGGTCTCAGCGAGTCAAATTACCCCCCCCCCCCCCCAAACGAAGGGCATTCAATCGGCCACCCGGGTGCGTGTCAAATAGCAGTGTTTGTACAGATTCGAATTATTTTCCCTATCTTGCGCGTCTTAGCTTTAACGGTATATTTGTCTGAACCTTGCTCACTAGTGCTAATGAGCACGGCTTGGAAACGTCGAGTTTTCTCAATACCACCAACGCTTCCTTGAGACGTTCTCTGACCAGCATCTGCTAAAAATGTCTGATAAAATATTGGAGGTCAATTTATTCAGCGTAATAACTGTCAATTGATAGTTAAGAAAACTAAGAGCTGAGGGTCTTTATTGCCAAAATCAAGTGTACCATCGCGTACTGGGCCAGAGCTTCCTAC